GTTGTGGTTGTGGTAGTGGTTGTGGTGGTTGTGGTGGTTGTTGATGTGGTTGTGGTGGTGGTGGTTGTTGTTGTTGTTTTGGTTGTGGTTGTGGTTGTGGTGGTTGTGGTGGTTGTTGTGGTTGTTGTGGTTGTTGTGGTGGTTGTTGTGGTGGTGGTTGTGGTTGTGGTTGTGGTGGTGGTTGTTGTGGTTGTGGTTGTGGTTGTTGTTGTGGTTGTGGTTGTGGTGGTTGTGATTGTGGTGGTTGTGGTGGTTGTGGTTGTGGTGGTGGTGGTGGTTGTGGTGGTGGATGTGGTTGTTGTTGACGTTGTGGTGGTTGTGGCAGTGGTTGTGGWTATTGTTGTTGCTGTGGTTGTGGCAGTGGTTGTGGTTATTGTTGTTGTGGTGGTGGTGGTAGTTGTGGTTGTTGTTGTTGTTGTGGTGGTGGTGGTTATTGTGGCGGTTGTTGTGGTCGTGGTTGTTGTTGCTGTGGTGGTTGTTGTTGTCGTGGTGGTGGTGGTTGTTGTTCTGGTGGTCGTGGTTGTTGTGGTGGTTGTGGTTGTGGTTGTGGTTGTGGCTGTGGTGGTTCTGCTGGTCGTAGTTCTTCTTGTGGTGGTGGTTGTTGTTCTGGTGGTGGGGGGGGTGGTGGTTGTTGTTGGGGTGGTTGTTGTTGTGGTGGTTGCTGTTGTTGTTGTGGTGGTGGTGGTTGTGGTTGTGGTGGTGGTCGTGATTGTGGTAGTGGTGGTGGTGGTGGTGGTTATTGTGGTGGCGGTTGTGTGTGTTGTTGTTGTTGTTGTTGTTGTGGTGGTGGTCGTGGTTATTATGCAGGTAGTCGTTGTGGTGGTGGTGGTTGTTGTTGTGGTGGTTGTTGTTCTGGTGGTTGTAATGGTTGTTGTGGTTGTGGTTGTGGTTGTTGTGGTTGTTGTGATTCTGGTTGTTGTTATTGTGGTTCTTGTTGTTGTTGTTGTTGTTGTTGTTGTTGTGGTTGTTGTTATTGTTGGCGTTGTGGTTGTTGTTGTTGGTTTTGTTGTGGTTGTTGTTGTAGTTGTTGTTGTTGTTGTTGTTGTTGTTGTTGTGGTGCTGGTGGTGATGATTGCTGTTGTGGTTGTGGTTGTGGTTGTGGTGGTGGTTGTGGTTGTAATCGTTGTTGTGGTTGTTGTTGTTGTTGT